CCCCCCCATTTTGTGGTTTACAGCCCTTGTCTGCTGTTTCATGCTGACTTACTTGTATATTGTCTGCCTCCCCTCTCCCGCTCTACCTAAAAGGGAAGCTCTTAGAACAGGTTCATTGTCTCTCTTGTGTCCCGTGGTTTATGAGTGCCTGACACAGACACGGCAGACACATTTGCCGATTACAGAATGAGTCTTGTCGAGCATTTCGTTCATCTTCTCGACAAGCATTTAGTGAAAATCCAGTGTCTTGCACTTCACAAGGCATTCTTAGTGACTGAGTGCAACAAGGACTATGTCCCATTTAATTCTTAATTCTCAGCATCTCACAGAGAAGCTGCACCCAGGGCTCACTAGATCTCTTGAATGAAGAAATGGAGGCTGTGCTATATCGCCCTCGGGTCCTTTCTGCCCAGCATGACATCGGCATTCAAGAAATGCGTACTGAATATTATGAAGGACTAAAGATGATGACTTGTTCCCCTAGCTGCATGAGCCTGTAACTGGTTAGCGGGAGAGAGTAAGGGCTAGCAGGTGACACCCGCACACAAACTAAACAGGTGGTTGTTTTGAAAGCACTCGAGAGCACGGGTATTACCATTACAAGGGGGACCAGACATTCCTTAAGGGCTCCATGTTTTAAACTGAGCCTTTAAGGAAACAGAATTAGGACTCTTGGAGAGAGGAGGGGTGGCGTGTAGCCAGATGGATATCGTAAGCAAAAGCACCGCAGTAGGCTGAGCAAGCATGATGCCGGGGTGCGGCAGAGACAGCCCCGCCTGGAGCAGAGTGGTGTCTGCAAGGAGCAAATGGATGATGTAAATAAGATGTGCACACGAGTCGTTTGATAAAACCCCTCATTCTAATGGTTGTGAAGGTAATATGGAGCGGTCACACACCATCACTAGTAACCCTTGCATTAAGATTTTCTCTTCTAGTTCTTTCATTGTACTTTATCAGTACATTCATCGCATTGAATTTATAATTATAGAGACTAACTCTTTTGAGCCTGTGGGTCAAGTCACCGAGCCTGGCACCTCATACCCTCACAGCTGCTCTACAGATGAAGGTCTGAGGCTCAAGGAGGTTAAGAAAGTTCTTCGAAGCAAAAGACCTGATCAACAGTAGACACGATCGTCTCGTCCGGTACTATCTGGCGACATGAAAGCTCGTGCTCATCCTTCTCTACCAGATGAGACAAAACAGTGAGGTGGGAGCTACGAGCTGCGTTGGTGGCACAGGCGCGGTGCTGTAAAGGTCTGGAGAAGGGAGAGAGCAGCAGAGGCTGGCAAAGCCTCCAGGGAGAGATGAGACTGGACCCGAGCACAAAGTCTTAGGAGGTGAGCAGCAGCTGGAGAGACAGAGAGAAAGGATGGAGGGATCATGAAGGGGACCACAGGGACTGCTGCAGGATGATTTCCAGGATGAAGCGCCACCTGGCTGCTTCTGGAAGTACACACTGGGGAATACAGGACAGGAAAGGCGAGAATAGTCTCGCTAAGGCCTGACTGCCAAACTGAGGACTCTGGACTTCGGTCTACAGGAAAAGGAAGTGGATTCTGAATGTGGGGCAATGCGGAAAATCTGTGTTTGAGACAGAGAAATGGTCATGGACAACCGGGCCTGGGAAGGGACAGCACACAGGCAGGTAACCGCTACAGCAATCTGGGTGATAAGTATCTGACCTGGTAATTCTGGGGCTTAGAAAAGCAAAGTTTGAGACATTTCAAGAATGAACAGGCTTTGACAGATATTTCCAAAGCATCTATGTGCCCACCTTGAGCACGGAATAAATCCCTTCCTGTTGTGATCATTTCTGTCCGGCTTCGACACCTCTGAAATTGCGACCGTCTCGAAGGCACTGAGTAAATCTTACTTTATGCTGCGTGTCTGGCATCCACGGGTGGGGGTGGGAGGAAGACTTTAGCAAATGCTGCAGAACGCTCCGAGGAGCGACCAGGACAGGAGGACAGCTGGCCTTAAGCCTGGTGACAAGGGTGGGCAGGTGCCATGAGGGCAAAGAGGGGTGTTGGGAAAGAATTCTCCTTCTAGATAAATGAGCCCGGTGTGGGATGTTCTGACTTTGAGATAAGGTGGCAAATGAACACAAAAAAAATGAAGGGAGTTACTGGTGGGCGTGTCTCTTATATTTGGGATCTACATTTTCCTGTGTGTGGACGGAATGAGAGGGTGGGAGCCAAGTATTTTCTAAACTGTTATTTAAGCTACACTTCTTGGGCGTTCCTTAACAACACTGGAATGCTCTGTGGGCAAAATCAGGCAACGGTTACGTGCTCTACGGAAGGATTAGTCATGGTCCTCCTTTAAGGCTCATAAGAGACACACACGGAAAGCTAATGACAATTCGTAAACACACTGAAAAGATTCCTCCCATCAGGAATATAAGGACTATTTACCTTGTGACGAGGAACCATGCGATTTGACTGAAGTCTGGAGAGGGTCTCATGTATGTCTTAATATGCGGCATGGCATTGCTGCGGCCAGACGTCTCCGCTGACCATTTGCTAGAGACAGGAGAGACACAAACTGGTTATAATCTTACATTAGAAAACTGCATGAAATGCAAAAATTCTGTCATCTAAAAAACAGTGAGTATACAGTTGTCTGTGATCCGACCTGTGATATCTACTTTAGCTGTGTTCAGGTCACAGAATAACGCATGCTCATTGCAATCTGTGATGTCATTTTAGGATGCAGGTATGTAAAAAAAAAAAAAAAAAAAATTACCACCGCTCACAAAAAGCACATGGCCTTCCTGTCTTCTTTGCCATGGACACGCATACACAGGCACACACCGTATTATTTCTGTTGTGCTTTTGACAGCATGCACATCTTGTCTCCTAGCTGGACTGCGAGTTTTTAAAAGCTAGAATCGTGCTCCCATAGCACGTCAGAGGCTCAGTAAAATATTGTTGAATGAAACACCATACAAAATGGAAAGAATAAGCAGGGGTATAATTCAGAAATATTTTAGTCAAATGCTGATATTCAGCAATCTTGAGTTCGGATTCTGAGTTTCCAACACTGTCAGACTGAGGTTCCACAGGGGAAAAATAACCTATGTCATGAGGCGACAATCCTTACTAATGAATATAAGAGATGGTCCCTCAAGAGAACAGACTGTCTGCAGGAACAGAATCCGGATTAGCTAGGCCCATCATTATAAACTCACTTGAATGAAGACAGTACTGAAAGGTCCTCAATCTAAAGATATGTCCTCGGCAAGGTACAACCTTCCAAAAAAGCATTAGAGAAAGGCGCCAGATGACACATGAAATTAGGCTGAAAGCTACTGAGATGTAATCTGCCTTACAAGAAGCCAGATAGTACCCCAAATACCAGAGAGGTTCTATCCTCGGCAAGCCTGTGGTCACACAGCATATGACTGCAGACAGAATGGTTATATTTCATATACTGGAAACATGACTAAAAGCTACTTACGTAAATTCTAAACTACCCAATATGTTCTTTTATTTATCTTTTTCTTTGTGTGCCAATATAGAAATAAAAACCTCACAGAGATAAATTTTACTCTTTGGTATTAAAAACCTATTCCAAAAAAATGTTCAAAACTTTATTTTAAATTCTTTCCATCGCTAATATACGTAGAGAAAAAATATAGCTATATTATATAAGGTTCTTTAAAAAAAAAAACCTGACTGATATAAATAACATTCTTACTCCTAAAGAAGCAACAGCAGCATTCTAAACCAATTACTTACTGAAAATAAGAATGAAGCCAATTCTGTTTTTCAGCGGTCTGGATGCTATAGGGAAGAGAGCCCCCAGCTTTCAAAAGAAGAGAAATAAAAATTAGGGAACATAATTTGAGGATCTTTCATTAAGAAGAAAATCTATAACAAACAGTGAGATGGTAAAAAGACAAAAAAATAAAACAACTTCCATTATGTCATCTTATGGAATTGTTCTTTGACAGAAAATGTCTATGCTTGCACTGGGTATGTATTCCTCGGTGGGGTTTCTTAGGGATGCATATTAAACAGTAAATGTTCACTATCTGAAAAGAAAAAGGTATTTAAGTACTGGGGCGGGGGGGGGGCGTTATTTAATATCTGTAACAGCACAGATCTGAAGTGTTAGAAAAAGGACAGAAAGGATCCCTGGCTCATCCTGTCGTCCTCACGAAGGCGAGACATCCTCAGCCTCGTTCTGCGGGGAGTGGTCTGGAGCGCCTCTGTTTCTGCCGTGACCGGGACCCTTGGGGCAGACGAGCGTGAGAACGCTCAGGAGAACTTGGTTCTCCCACCTCCTTCGTCATTTACGCTCTGCTCCTTCCCAACAGACTTTGCCCTAGCTAAACGGATTCTTACGAATGGAATAGACTGAGCGCTACTGCAAAAAAAATAAAGATACAGTTCCAGTGGAAACACAATTAGAAGTCGATTTTTGTTCATCTTTGAAAGGAGGAAAGTTCCACTGCGGATGCGTCAGTCACTTTCCAAACACAGACTGGACCTTCTCCCTAGGAAGCTGTATCCAAACAGGGCTTTATGTTTCTCCGACTTATCAGAGGCAGCATGTTGCGCCTCCTACTGCACATAACTAAAATCATATTCGGGATTTCAGGTCCTGTTATAGAGTAGTTTTACTGAAAAGACCATGTTCTTTTTCATTAAAAAGCATGCTCTGAATGGATCCAGCCTGTCAGAAGTGTGGAGAGGAGAAGGTGACAAAACGATCCACCACGTCCTTGAATCTCAGTGAAATAATTTTAGTTTTGCCATTAAAAAGCAACAAATGGGCTAAAACACTCCAAACCCTACTGAGCTTTTTCTGGCAAGGTCACATCTAGTATGACAAGCAACAACTGGACTAAAAGAGTCTAATTCAGAGCATTCTGCTTCCAGCCATTCAAACTTCCTATTGTCCAGAGGCATATGCTGTTTGGGGTTCTGGTTATTCCCTCCTGAATGCACTACCCGGGGTTGGGGGTGGGGGACGGGGGGCTGCTGACTTCCAAACAAGAGTTTAGTGTCCAGCACTGGTATAAGAGAAATAGAACAGGTGATATCTACAAAATAATCCTAGGTATTTACAGATGAGGCTCTTGAGAGATTAGTTATATCAACTAGGCTATCTTAAAGGTTGAAACATAAGTTCTAAACCTTAAATATATCTGTATTGAGAAGCCAAATTTGCAAGAACCACACAGTACCACAGAAGAAGGCAGGGAGGATGCAGGAAAAGAGATCAGAGACAGGAGTGTTAGATTTGCTCTGGAAAGGCACAGACAGCAGGGGAAGCTGGTTTGATTTGGACCTCTTGTCTTGACAGCCCATCTGTTGGTGGCAGTGGTGAGGACAGGCTTATTGGTAGAAATTAGGAGGATAACAATCACTCAGAGGGTTCTTGTGAGGATTAAGTAACGTATACACAGCCCAACTGCATGCCACCATCTTGGGAACATCCCAGTGCTCAATATTACCTATCTTCATAATTCTCATCCAGTTAAGAGAAAATCATCTCCAAATTTCTAACCCATATTTTTCCCATCTCAAGGAGGAAGGCATTCTTATTACTTGTTTTTAAGGAAGTTTACCAAGGCATTTATGAAAATATACACAAAAAAACGCAATCGTGACGGCCTCCCCAGCAGTTACCTGGATATCCTTCTAAGCTGGTTCGCACATTTTCCACAGATGGATAGATCTAAAAATAAATAAGAAAGTAAAAAACAAAATAAAACTTGGAGGGTACCATGTTGAAAAAACTATTTCTTAAAAGGAATGCAAACTCGTGTTTTGAAAATGAAAATCTCGATTAAAAATACTTAAAGACTTAGAAATGACTTTAGATTTTAAAAAGTTCTCGTCTTACTGAGAAAAAAACGAAAATGGAACTTCTAGTAATTAAACTACAGGACGTATATATATTTGATGAAAAAAATAACATGTTGAGTATTTTTTCTTCTGACATGCCAAATGAACATTGAATTGAATGCAAAATTAATGACTGATTCAAACGGATCTAAATAATAATGCTCATAATTCCGCCGGCAGTGCTTTATCAAGTCCTTTTTCCTCGGCTTGACCACTTGAGGAAGGAAGGGAAACTGCAGGCTAGTCTGTGGCTGAATTGGTCCTCTGACTAAACCAGCACCAGATATTATTAGGGCCACTTGATCACAAGTGATGATACTGTAACTGCGGTTTCCGCCCCAAAATCACTGAATACAGCGTCTCTCTATGGCAAGGAGGAATGAGTCTCCATTCCTCTCCTGGACTGGAGAACACGGATTACTAACTCAAGGAGGCAGAGCACTCACCAAATGAAGGGGCACGGCGCTCTTCCCTGGGGTCTTGCTTTCCCTCCCCAGCGTCGCCAAGGTCTCTTTAAACTCAGAACACAACCATTTCGATTCGTCGGCCCCCATGGAGCCAATGCTTGAAAACTGACCGACTACTGGCCAAGACTCTGCTTTGGGTATGGACGAGGCATGTTCTTTCAGAAGCTGTGAAAGAACACAGTGAACACTAGTCACTCACACGTGATCAGAAATGCTGGAATGACTCAGAACACGGTTTTCCGCCCTTGGATTTCCTAATTAACGAACAATGCTGAAAACGTTAGTGATTAATTCCATACCCATGTATATACATTTTTCTCTTCTTTGGAAAATATTTTTTAAATTCTACAAATATTTTAATGGAGCAAGTGGATAGACGTCCTCTTCTCCTAAAATTGATTTGTGCTGAAAGCAAAATCAAATAAAAAAATTTTTTTTTAAAGATCCCTTTTAGTAGGAATGTCAGATAAACCACTAACTGCCTTATAATGTTAGATTTTTGCCTTGAAATCATAATTGTTTAATATACCTACACAATACATTGAAGGTCAAACTACTATATATTTTGACTCTCATTTGAAAGAGGTTTAACGCTTGGGCTCCAGGCAGCTCTGAGGCTCTTAAAATAAGAGAATATATTTACATATAGATACACACTGCCTTAAGCACTGCAGAAGACTGATCTGCATTTCCTGCTTTGATACGTAAAGCTGCAGAAACAATTCAGAAAACGTTTGGAAATTCACGCACTTAAACATGTACAGAGTGTCTACCTAGAGGCTGGAGACAGCACGAAAAAGAAGCCGCAGTTCCTGCCCCAGTGGAGCTCATATTCTGACTGAGGTACTGTTTAGTTTAATACGTATTATTTAACACGGCTTATGCATTTTTATAAATACTCTTACCCAAAAGCCCAACTAATTCTCGCCTTCCACCTGGGTGCAGCATGGTGTCGGAAACAAGACTGAACTGACAACTACAAGACCCGGTGTCTATTCTGGTGCTCGGCCCCAATCATCTGCATGACCCTGTGCTTCCATGTCCACCTCACTGAAGTCTGATCACCCGTCATCCCTGGAAGGCGCCTGTGATGCAACACGAGTGACTGTCTGTGAAAAGTGGTTTGAAAACTTTAAGATGCTATTCAACTTTCAGTAAGGTTGTGATCCTACACAGCATGTGCCATTACTTAGCCTGTCTACACCACCCATCCGCACATAACCACTACACTTACTGAATACTCAGCATGTGCCTTGCATTTGCTATTTTGTTTAATCCTTACACAATTCTGTGACCGAAGCAGTATTAATAGGCCCATTTTACAGACGACATGAAAGGCAGGTTGAGGAGCAAGCCACCGTCATGTGACCTGTAAATAAAGGTCAGGGTTTGAACCCAGGTCTGGGCATCTGCCTGCAAAGCTGTGCACTTAGCCACAGTGCTCTACTTTCTAAGTCAAGACATGAAGCTGTTGGCTTCAAGATCCTACCTGCTTTCAGCTGTGATCTCATTTTTAAAAAAATTTAAAATTTCATTAACCAAGGGGAGTTCTTACATAATGTAAATACAGAAAAAAAGGTAAGGCTTTTAAGAAAGGCACTTTAGGAAATTTTGTAAGGTCAGTATACTGTCTCTTAAAAGGAGATGAAGAAAACCTTAATCTTTAATTTGCTTGTTGTTTTATTTTGTTAAAGACCTTTCTTTGTTATTTTCATACCAGCTACAAATGTCACTTTTGTAGTAACAATTCTCGTAAGGGCTTTTGTTCAGTACACAAAACACAATATAGCTCAATTGTAGTCTTTACTTGACACGATTTTCTATTTTTTGTTGAATTTGTATGTTACAAGTCCTTGATATGACGATCAAAAGTTACAAAATATTTGTATGAATGTGAAATCTCTCTTTATTACAATATAAAACTCAAAGTCCATATACTTTTGCCATTAAGAACAGTCTATACACCTATGGAAAACATTAAAAATTACTGAAAACTATAATTAGACAATCACTTTATCATGTGCCTACTATTCTACTCACCCAGAACTGTGCTAGAGATATTGTGATGCTGCCATCAAAATAAACAATTATAAATGAAAAAGGAGAGTATACATTCAATTTTTTTTTAATGTTAAAATAGTAAAAATTCTCATACCTTCCTAAGCCTAAAATGTCCCCAATTATCCTTCTGACTTCCTTGAAAGCGTCCCGGGGTTGATCCAATGAGGTAAACGCTAAAGAGAAATAAAATGTAAGTTATACAGAACATAGTGATGATTTGTAGACCCAAAAATCACAAAATACACATGAAAACTTATGTAACCATGATATAATCGAAGAGCTAACCTATTTTTTAAAGATGCTTCCTCAGAGAAGTAATTGATACTTAAACTCATTTTTAAGCACATCAACTAATGGTGGAACACCTGTAAGGCGTAAGGTGCCAGGCGAAGACCTCATTAATTTTAAGAATATGCCAGCAGAGGGCTTAGAGTAAGTGGGAAGATTTCCTGGCCCCCACTTCAGTGGCTGAGAACCAGGAGGTGACGATAGTGACAGAACCTTCTGCTTCATCATGTCATGAAGGATGGCCGAACATCATTCAGCCTCTTTCCAAGACCCCTGCATTCCAGACCTCGTGCCCCTCTTAAGGTCCTGACTTACTGTAAGCACCCCAACTTGCTAAGATGACACATACTTTGTTTCAGAGAGATCGTGCTCCTGGATGACGTCTATCCACTCCTTGAGAGCAGGAGCATTATAAGCCATCAAGTAGCTGACGAGATCAGCTTTAAAATGTGTTGTTGATTCTCCAGATGTGTTGGTTCCAGGGGCAATTCGTGGGTATAAGGGGCTCAACCATATTCTGGAATGGGAAAAAAATAACGGGAATGCAACGGATCGCCATGATATCTCTGTACTGATTATGCGCTCGCCCTAAGGAAGAGGTGAATTCTCACTATCTATCTTTACGTGTTCAGTCGAGTGACCCTTATGAAACATAAATCTGATCACACCAAATAGCTTCCATCATATTCGGAATTATTTTTGAACACCTCATCGTGAACTTAAGACCCAGTGAGATCGAGCCTCTGCCCAGCTCTTTTGATCCAACCCCTTCTCATTCACCACACCTTCTCTCTTCCTACCTCACCCTCTATATTGCTTTCTGAGATGTGATGACAACAGTTAATAGTTCTAATTTCAACTGTTACGCCACCTGTAGCAACCCCAGCAAGCTTTTGCCCACGACTATGTCAGTGTAGCTATTTAGCCAAATGGAAAAGAATAAAAGTTATCTATACTAAGAAAAATATACGCGTAAATCTATTTCCAATAAACAAACTGATTTTCACGATATATGTGCTATAACAGTTTGAGATATTTTCATATCCTATACTTTTCTGGTGTCTGGAATGAGTCTATACCACATTTAATAATATTAAATTAACACTAACCTCAGACTTTCAAATAATACAGTACACAAAATATTAAAGACATCTTTCATTTCGTCAGTTCTCCCCAAAGGAAAACAATGCACTTTGCCAAAACTTCTATATTATATCCACAAATGAAAAACTATATCTAAACTCAATCCTTCTATGAACTGCTCCATGGTAGACAAAAATATGTAGTTTCAAATCTCTTATGCTCAGTTTCTTCAATTGCAAAGTTGAGTTAACAGTCCTGACTCATAGGGCTGTGACAAATGCACACGATGTATGAACGGGCAGTGACCAGCTTAAGGAAGCATTCGGGAGGTCTAACTTGTCACTGCCTTTGGTCCCTTCTGTGGCTACTTCCCCCACAGTCCTACCCATTAAGCCAAAACAGAAACTGCCGAATTCTGCTTTTCACCTGGTGGCCCTCAAAGACTGGCGAGACAAAGGCCATCAAGGCAGGAAGCATCCAGAAACCCATGACGCCGGCTGTGTGTCTTCTGATCTTTGTACATGTTTTTGGCAGGGTGACATGTCATACTCTCCCTTCTCACCTTGAGGAGACCCCTTGCAAAAGGAGTTAACGACACAGTGTGACGAAGCCTGAAGCCCAGGCTCTGAACCCAGATCTAACTGGCTGCGTCATTTCGGGCAAGCCCAGTAACCTCTCTGAGCCTCTGCCTCTGTGCGTCGAGCTGGACAGGAGTGAAGGCCTCCCTCCCACTGGCTGAGCGTGGCTTCCCCTGCACTGCTCGTTCACTCACAAGAGAGGTTCTGGATGAAGAAGAGGACAGACGACGACTATGGAGGCATTTTTAACACTTCTCAAAATGAGGAAATGACCAAGGTGGGCCAAATCATTCTAAAAGTGAGAAGTTAACAGGTGGACCAAGTAGCAGCTGAGAAGATGGCTGGATAGCAGAAAAGGATGAGCAGCCATGGCAGATAACTATGAAGATCACACAGAAGAAATGCCTTTAAAGGTTTTTTAAAAAATTAGAACCCATAACACGAATCTGCAAAGTAGCAGAAAGAGAAGAATCGAGACTAACTGGGAGATAACAGTGCCCCACTCTGGGGGCTGCAAAAGGATGTTGGAGGGAGATTTCATACCCTTGGTACTTTTTGAGTTTTAAACCAGGTGAAGCTACTACCCGGTCAGTACTTTTTTAAACAACTTAAAGTTTTTTAAATAAAGAAAAACATTACAACCCGAGCCCTTTCCCCTAACCCCCTCCCCACAGCTGCACTCCAGAGAAGCCTAAGGAAGCATGGCTGCCTATAAACTCATGCTTTCCACTCCAGAAGGAGCAGGAGGCCACAGGTGGGGATCATGAGCCACATAAGACAGTGCCAACTTGATAATCCAGTTAGTTACATAAATCGCTGTTTCCCTAAGAAAAGATGATTAATCCCCTTTCCTTTTTAGATGGGGCTACACAGAAGCCAGAGGCTCAGAACCCAACCCTGGGCATGGAAGCTCGAGAGGAAAGCAAAGGCATCAACTGGAAACTCAGTAGGTTCAGGGTCCCGATCCGCTCGGCCCTGAACTGAGTGCATTTTGAGAAGCATATTTTAAGTGGGATGCTCAAACTAGGGCATGTTTTAAGGAAAACTTTCAAGGAGAGGGCAGGGGGCTTGCAGTCAGAGAACAAGGGATGTCAGGCTCAGGGAAAACTCGTTTTTTAAACTCAGAAGGGCTGTCTTAAGGAATAGAGATAATGATTCCACACGCACACTCCGGTCAAAGCAGGCCCAGTGCATGGGGGCTGGAAGGCTCTATGTTTTAGCTCAACCAAAGGTGGGACTTGGGCTCCGTCAGAACTAATGCTCCCCGAATGAAGGGTTCCAGCCCAGGCTGCGCCATGAAACGGGGGCGGGTCCGCGGGGGAGGATGACCGTGGGAGATACTTGGACCCTGAAAGCGTGCTAGGGCCTGCTCGAGTTTCCTCTAACACAGGAGGCTGTTAACCAGCAACTAACCTTACACAAAATGGCTTAAATGAAAGAAAGGTAAATGAAAGCCAGTCATGAAGGGCTTACCAGGAGACAGAACGATAGTTAAAACTTGATTTGAGCAAATCCCTCAAATCAATGACCGTGGGAGATACTTGGACCCTGAAAGCGTGCTAGGGCCTGCTCGAGTTTCCTCTAACACAGGAGGCTGTTAACCAGCAACTAACCTTACACAAAATGGCTTAAATGAAAGAAAGGTAAATGAAAGCCAGTCATGAAGGGCTTACCAGGAGACAGAACGATGGTTAAAACTTGATTTGAGCAAATCCCTCACAAACCCTCTCTTAAAAAAAAGTGAAGGGAGGGATCAAAAACTAGATCTAACACATGTGCACCAAGGACAAATGGTAAGAAAAACAAAGCATGAAAAACCTTCACTCTAGTTCTCTTGGAGAGTCACAACCCTATGAACATACTAAAGACTTGACGAAGACACCAGTGTAGATTTGTTTTATGGGAAACTAAACTGACTGGGGGTGAGGGGACATCTTTGGCATATGATTAACCCCCAAGCTGTCCTTTGATACCTGCAGGGAAGTGGCAAGCAGGAGTACATGTGGGCGCAGGGCTAAGCGGAGACAGAGAAGGTTATCTGGTGGGTCTTACTGAAAAGATAATGGGTTCGGACCTTCCATTTTGCATCTTCTTTCCTGCCTCGATGACTTGGATGTACTTGGCTGTAGAGTATGATCCCGTTTTGTAAAAACCAGGGGAAAAACTACTGTGTGAACATATTTACCTATGTTTACATGTGTAATAGAGACAGTTGTGGATGTCCTAAACTGTTAACACCGGCTACCTCAAGAGAGAGGAATTGAGGGTGGGAGGGGTTAAAAAACACTATAATTTCTCCTGCATATGTGTCTTTCCTATGCCATGTGTGTGGGTTTTTCACAATAAAAACATGAGAAAAAAAGAATAAAGCAAATGTTCTGGCTTTTGCCCTTTCTCAGCACTCAGCCACGGCTGTGAAGTGAACAGAACCCCACAAACCCTTGCGTTTTCTGGTGCCAGTCAGCACGGATGAGGTTGGAGGTGTGTATGACGACCCGGAGGCCTTCTTCATACAGCAGTAGCATCATCTTCCTGCAAAAACAGAAGAGGCATCAAAAAGCATTAACGGTACTTTCCAAACATGTAACATCATTCAAATGCAAATGTCATAGCTAAAGGAATGCTTCAAACCCTTATATTACCCAAATTTTTTATACCTATAATCTTTCTTTCTCCTATACATCATCATTATCAAAGTCTGCTTAAGTGATAGGTAAGGCGCCGACTTCCAAAATGCTTCCGAGGACTTGGTGGTCCATGAACTTTCGCCCTGGCCTGTCCACAGGGCCAGTCCTGGCACCTCAGACCCCTCCCCTCCAGTGTGGCCCCGTATTATCTTCTCAGCATCATCTGTTCCTTTAAGGGCAATGGGTCCAGTGTTTTTCAAAGTATGGTCACAACCTCTTGCTGTATCATTACTAGCATTTAAACAAAACTGCAATATAGAATAAACTGGAAAGTCAAGAGCACACTGCATATATTTAAGTTCAATACTGGTTCGTGAAACTTCTTCTGGCACAGAAGTGTGGACGTGTGCGGTAGACTGCAATGTCAACCGTATTTATCATTTTGGGTTGCAGTTTAAAAAAAAAGGTTGAAAGAGGCTTCATTTTCATAATCCACGGATGCCACACTTATCACCAGCACACACCTGGGCTTGAGGTCACTCTTCCCTTTTCCTCTCCATTAACTCAAATCAGACCTAGTTGAGTCCTCTCTCTCCCATGGGTCTTCCTCAGGCCTCTAGTCATCAGACATATTTTTCTTATTTTAATTCCAGTGAGAGAGGGAATAGGATATAAGAGTTTTCCTTTTCAAGGCGGAAGACATAAGCTCCAGCACTGGAAGCCGTGTGACCCTCCTTGGGTCATTCAACATCCTTAAGTCATTCCGGGTCCCTCAGCCTGGGTTTTTCACCTGTGACCTGAAGGATCAACCCTTTGCTTACCTCGGAGTTGCTGTGAGAATGACATACCGTATGCATTTTGTTAGATGGAAAATACCCTCACACATTCCCCTCGCTCCTTCAATGCCTTGCTTTATTTTGTAATCTACTACTGGGTAATTTTTGGCCCCCTGATTGTTTTCTAGTTATTTCAGGAATCTAAGTTCTCTCTCCCCAGCTAGACAGATATTCACTCCTCCAGGCAGTCACTCTGTCTTGACTTACTGTTTCCATTGAGGCCACAATGCTACTTAATACTTATGTAAATCAGTTTACACGCAGGGAAAGAAGTGAACCTGTGGGTTCTCTCAAATAAACGACAGCGTGAATACTATTCAGATAGGATAGGGTTAGCATCAAAAGCTTTGGAAAAGAATACGGTTTAGCTCTTGCCAAAACGAGAATTTAACCCAAGCTGGCAAACAGTAAATTAATGCAAAGCTGGAGAAATGACAGCTGTTGAGTCAATCTTGTTTCCATTTATGACATGTGCGCCTTGAAATCTGGGCAAATTTATATACACAGTTACCAAATTAGCAGCTGATTGTAATTAAGAATAAGCCAGTTATGAATTCATGATATGAGTTTTACAAATATTTCCATTAATCAAAGCATCAATTATCGGGAAAATCCCACACTAATGCCAGTGAATCCTATCAAAAACAGAACTGCGAACTAATCTATGGGGAGTCATATTAATCCTTTCACAGACAAGATGGCATGTGCCAATAAGGTCACAATAAAAAATGGATACGAAAGGGAAGAAATGGGGTCTCCCTTGAAGAACGCCGACCTACGCATTATCTGTTGAGCTATGGGGGCAGCAAAAGGGACACTTCCCAAATGTGAAGCTATTTTTGTGTAGGGAGAAGGAAAAGCAACGTCTCCAGGCCACCCAGGAGCCAGGCGCTGTTCTAGAAGCTCTATAGTATTCCAGCATGCTAAAACCCCACAGAAATCCAGAGAAGGTGTCATCGCTCCCATTGTCAGCTACAGAAATCTATGGCTGGGAGAGGCCATGGGAATCCAGGTCACAAAACGAGCGGGAGGAACAGCTTCCAGGCGCCGAGAGCATCTCACTGCGCATGGCTTCTGCAGAGCTGGACACGGCGGCGTACTTTCCACCTGATGGCGGGGGCGGGAGTGGGCGAGGTGGGGACCGTGTGGTCTAAGTGAGAGGACGACACATGGCAGCGCGGACAGGCATGCCCCGCCCATCCTGTGGTCGTCCCCGTTAGTTCACCGGGCTCCCCGTTAAACGGGGACACTGGACTTTGAGCTGCTTTAGCTTCCCTCCTCCCCTTCTAGGATGCTCAGGGCCATCGGAGCTAACTCTGCTCCCAGCTCCGGAGGAAACGGGAACGCTTTAGAACTCTAAAGCACGGCGAGACAGACCCACGGAAACACGGGGAGGGCAGAGTGGACGGACCGACAAGGCTAGGGGACTCCTGGAGGGCGGGGCTGCACCCCGTCGTTTCCAGGTGCTCTGCGCAGAGCGCGCAGTCCACACGTGCTTGCTAAAGAGAATGCGACCTCAAAGGCCACTTCCTATTTACTGCGGAAGCTCCACTCCGTCCAGTTAGGGAGGCAGTTTACATCCCGTCACCATGAGCTGGAAGGTTTTCCTCCTTTTCTAATTCATACGTTTGTCTTGCCTCACTCACCAAAAGACAAAAAGCTGTAAGAACAAAAACTGTTATATCTCAAAAACTATTATGTCTCAAAACCCTAGAGCTGTGTGTCTCAAGGATATAATACATATTTAATGAATAATGCTAAAAACGTTTTAAAACGAGCAACTGGAAGTCATTTCAAGATATGAGTTTGATCTCCTACAAGACCCTGGCATTTTAACAAAACGTAAACTACACATACTGTGTGGTTGAGAACAGTTCTATTGTAGCTCTGAATGCAGAACTGTTGAGTTTAACCTGCAAAGTGTATATGTTAGGGGTGGTATATTTACGTGTGTGTGTGTGTGTGTGTGCGTGTGCGTGTGCGTGTGTGTCTGGGGGACCAAAGGAAACAGTGAGTCCATTTCTGCCGTAAGGAAAACAAAAATAAACAAGTTAAAATAAATGGGTTCTAGTACTATTTCTAACACTATCCTGAGGAAAATGGCATGTCTACTGGAGGTCTCTGGTCTATAAGATGAAAAGGAAGGACCAAATAAATTTTCGAAAAGCATTAAAAAAAGGATAGCCCCTCTAGGCTCCATCGAGCATCATGGTGTTAGATCCTGACCAGGCTCAGCATACTCAGTCCCTCCCAGGACAAAGGGACAGGCTTCCCTACTTGCCAGCACATTAAGTGCACAGTGTGACTTTGCCCATGAAATGACTGCTGGCACAGGACGTGTGGCCAGCACAGGAACCCGGCACCGGTGGTCTATGCCCAGAACCCAAATAAAAGACAGGACTTCTGAATGTATTTTAGAATCGGTAAGGTATTTATGCTAGGGTTCCAGCTACGGGTCGGGGACAAGGATTCATCTGGGGTTATCCTATACTGGTGGAAGGCCTACCCATGACAGGTTGACTAGTGCCACCCATCAGTGTCTCCTGTGATGCAGCTAGGGGAACCCTGAGATGCTGAGCTGCCTTATTCAATGCCATTTTGTATTTTCTGCCGAAATTAGTTCGGTGCTATGTACAAAATAATTCATTTATATCGCAGCTAGGTGCTTGAGTTCACTCTCAACCATCGACAAACTCTATTTTGTCCCCTATGAGACTAAAGCTACCAGTTAAGGATGGTTGGTAAACACTGCAGCATTTACTCAGGAGCATCGAAGACCAGGTAATATAAATTTGATGGGTATCCTTTTACAAAATGGCTCAACTCTTTCCGCCCCAGTTCCTTTTAAAAGAAGATTGACAAAATAGTTTTAAGTGTTCAATGAGAAAGAAGAATGTATGCCCTGAGTTTAGGCCACAGTAATATCAGAAAAACAGCAGTCACAGCTAGACTCAGGAGAACCCCCTATCCCCAGATCCCTTTTTGCCCTATAGATAGATACCTGAGGGAACATGCCTGAGGCAGCCAGCTACCCATTCCCACTGCTGGCCTAGAAGAAAAACGAGGCTTTGGCATATTCTTTTCACAAATCCTTTCTAGAGAAAATTTGATTTATAAAAATAATGAAATGTGGAGAGCCCTATCATCCCTTTTCTCATTTATAGAACAATTACATAAAAGGGCTCAGTAAAAATGTCTGTAAAACTAACCTAAATTGGGAGTCAAGTTGACAATCGGGTGTGATGTGTCAAGTAGGAAGCAGTAGGAAGGCTCTTCCTGTCTGATGTTTGCAGTGTCTCAGAAAATTATTCTACAAGAAATTTCTGAGCTGTTGTAAGCAGGGACAGGCATCAGCCTTTCAGGCTGACAACTTTTTGTGAAAAAGTTTTTCTTTCAATCACAGCATGGAGCTGACCTAACAGTATTCTATTTGATGCAACTCAGAATCTTATTAAAAAAAAAAAAATCACACGACAGTCTTCAAAGTTGTGGAATCCACGGGCACGTGGCTAACACACACACTGTCATCCATACCCACGGCCCACACAACCGGTCTATTCTCTTGTAGGGAACGTGCCGAACAGAAAGCAGAAACCACATCACAGACTCGCATTTTCATGTTGAAAGCCGGATCCCAGTACTCTGTCTTAGGCTATTGGAAAACAACTCTGCTTCCTCTCCTTCCTTACTGATAGCTTTCTTCCCCCAGCGAAATCATCACGTGTGAGTTCTTATAAGGGCATCTTCCGGATAGTGTCCTTTGGTCTATTAAAATCATATCCTCCCCCATTTCATGAAAAATTGCTTACGTGTGGTGTGTTCCAAATGCAATTTCCAGCTTTGCCTAGGATGAAAAAGAAGTCAAGTCACTCACTCAAAAAACACAAACAAACAAACAAAAAAACACAACAAAAAAACAACTCAGTAATATCCCTACCTATTGGAAATTAGAAAAGATTCAACTTGGTTTTTTTTTCCCCACTGCTTTTACTGCCCTCTAGTGGACAAGCCCTTGATTGACAATAAAGTTTTTATACTAGCATCCAGTGAGGCTCATTTTTTAAAAAACTTTTTTAAAAAACTTACCCCACATGATTCAATACATACTGCATTTTTAATTAGAGTAATTTAATTTTTAAATAGAGTAATTAGAAGCAGAGAAGCCTAATTTCTTTAGTTGTCAAAAAACTAATAAAAACAAATGACACCCGATGCAAAATTATAAAATGAGATATTTGGCTTATACTGAAAATATATGCAAAAAGTTTTCAGAGCATATGTAAAAGAAACATTAAATGTGGTTGCAGCAGAAAGACTCATGATGTTAAAACAGAAGTTTTTTACATTAATAACATAGCAAGTGCTGAAAATAAAGAACATATTAAACCCATTTTTGTGTTACGAAATGATACTTTTACGAACAAATGGGGGAAGGGTGGAGAATTAAAACATTTTATCTAACACCCACTAGAGCAAGACCTTGGTTAAGCAGAATATGCTCAAGATGCAGGATATGAAGAGTCAGTCAAAATAGAAATATCTAAATAAGCAGTTAAAAAAGCACAAATCCCAGCTTGACGACTTTGCATGACTTTGAAAAAAATTTAAAACTCTGTGCTTTGCCTCTCTCCTCTTTAAAATGAGGGTGCTGTTAGGGGATTCAGAGAGCTACTATTAGGAGAAAATGAGAAAAAGTATTTGAAGTGCTTAGGAAAGGGGCCTGCCTGGGGCAAGTATTCTGCAAATGAAGCACTGCTACCCTGCCCCCAACCACATGACGGATGGGTGGATCTGTTGCTGGCGGGCAGTAACGGGCAAATTGGAACACATAGGTGAGCATGATACAGGCCCTGCTTTGGGGATGCTCATAGACAGGTGGCACAGTTCACTGTCCTCATATACTCAGTGTCGGAGGAGGCTCACAGAGCGGCATGCATTTGTGCGGTCTGGCCACAGAAGAGAGAGTGGGGAACTGTATTTCATGTCTTTAAAATTACAAAATGAGAATGAAGACTGCTACTCTGTAAATTAATATTTAGCCCAGAAAAAAGCAATAATCAAGAGACCTGGCTTTGAGTTTAGTTTTGATTTAAGTTGTATGCTTTTGGGCAAGCCTAAACACAAAAACAAGGATGATAATAACGTCAACAGATAATATTTAATGGGTGTTTTTGGGGGGCAAATGCACCAAATCCCTTGCACAACCCTATAAAGAACAGTATTAGTAATCCACTTTAAAGATGAAAAAATTTGGCCTAAAGAGGTTAAGTGATGAGCCCAAAATGACACACCTAGAATGCAGAGGGTTGGCAGTCTGGACCTTGACCAGCAGAAGGCCTCAAACTCTGACCTCCAGTTCCGTATGTGCAAAATGGGAGAAGTGTCAGCATCTACTGATTCCCTGACTGACGTCAAAGTCAAGAATTCATCTAACAGATAAGATATAAAGGTATTTCAATAGGTCAGGATGGGCCATCCTCCTCCTGCACCTCAGACTAGAGCTGGGAGCTTCTGAACGGCTCTGTGCGGCTCCTTTTGCCCTCTACTGGCGGGCCTGGGGCATGTTACCAGGCACGTCACCGTCTCCCCTACAGGTAGTTAGTATTTGAAAGACACGATTACTACTGATTCAGCCACTGATTTTCCAGACTCCTATGTTGTTTTATTTTCTGCCCACTTTTGGTCTGGTGAGAGAGCTATCTTACTGCAGTTTAACCTCTTCTATTTTTTAGTAACTAAAACAAAGCAATGGGATCTTTGGCAACGGCTAAGCGAAGGCATGTCTGTGTGGAAGGCCAGCCACGAACAGGTTGGGAAAAGGAATGCTTTCAAACTCTAGCTATATAAAGTGCAGTGGTTAAATCAGGGCGCTGAAACCCAGGTTTTGAGAGGCACGCTGACTAACTGGAGGAGGGCCAGAGGTTGGAAAAAGATAGGAAATCCATGTTACATTGGAAACAACTGAAGAAAGTGAGAAACCTCAGGGAGATGACTTCAAATATAAGAATCACTGGTGCATGCAGGGAGAATTATTCTATGTGGCTCCAGAGGGGAAAAATTACGACCAAATGTGTGGGAGTTACAAAGAGGAAGACTGTGATGGCTAATTTTATATGTTAACTTGGCTAAGCAACAGTATCCAGATATTTGGTTAGATGTTGCACTATAGGTATGTTTTTAGATGAGATTAACATTTACATCGGTAGACTTTGAGCAAAGCAGATTACCCTCCAGAATGTAGGTGGGCCTCGTCCAATCAGTTGAAGACCTTAAGAGAATAAACACCGACTTCTTCAAGGAAGAGGAAATGCAATCTACAGACTGCCTGTGGTCTCAAAGTGCAATATCAACTCGTCCCCAGGTCTCCAGTCTGTTGGCCTATCCTGTGGATTTTGGATTGCTAGCAGCCCCCACAACCACGTGAACCAATTCTTAGGAAATAAATTTCTCTACATACATATGCATGTGCATGCATGCATGCATGCGTATGCGTGCGCACGCACACACACACGCATGCACACGCATGCGCACACACACACACACACACACACACATCACTGTTTCTCCAAGGAATCCTAATGCAGAGATATCAGGTCAACATAAAGAATAATCTTTCTAACCACAGGGCTACTCACAAATAGGATGGGCTATCTCAGAAAGCATTTGAGCCAAGGCTAGACAAATACGTGTTGGGGATGCCAGAGAGAGGATTCCTGCACTAGGCAAGTGGATAGACTAAATGTCTAAATTCCCTTCCATCCTTCAGACCGAGCATGATCTCAAATGACAATAAGCAGCTTACCTGGCAAAGGGAAATGTTTCCATAAGGCTTTGCCTCGGCGTGTAAGTGAGCCTTGGCTTCTCGTTTATCGCCATGCACAAGCAGGATTGGTTTCTTCCTGAAAAAGATCAGAAGTATTTGATAAAGTTGGACTCCTGCCTAGTGAAGCAATGTTCACTCTTTCATCACCCGACATGTGCTTCTGGCCTTCGTGGTGCCTGAGTACAGGGCTAACACATAGCCGTGATCAGTTAATCTTCATTTACTAACCAGTTACATTTACAATGGTGCCGTGTGGCCTAATCCTAAAGCTCTACTGCAACCGAGAGGGGTTGTGACTCAAGAAAGTCCTTGAGTAATGAATTTTCTTCTTTGGTCCCAAAGGGCACCGTTAGCTCTGTGTTAATATGCCTGCATTCAGACAGATTAAAAGATAGACAATTACTATTGTATAGCATGCTGCTCTGTTCTTTCCTTTGGACCAAGCAATGGATTACCTTACTAGGCCTATGTTCGCCAAGCTCCTACTGTGTGCCAGGCACTGCACCAGACTCCCCAGGCCACAAGCAGGAACTCTGGCCCATGGTACAACGCAGACTCATTAATAAGTAAGGTTGTAATTCAGTAATACAGAGTCGAAGGTACATTGAAAATGCTATATTTTTTAATTCCTAAAAGATATCATAAAAAGACTCTAGGAATAGATTTAAAAGGCTGTTAAGGGAACCGTGATCTTCTTCAGTTAATTCAAAGCAAGATAATCCTTAGAAATCAATAAACCTTCACAAGTGTTCCCAACAAAACAAAAATTGGATTTTTCTCCAAAGAACAATCGAGATGAACAAATGTAGCCGCTTCCACATTTATCAATCACAGTGCAGAATGATTCTCTAGCATACATGCAGGGACAACACTCAACTGAAAAGAAACATTATAGAAAATGCACTTCTGGCACAAATACCTAGCTACTTAATGCCCAAGAGTTTTATTCTAACACTTTAGGTCAAAGAAAACTAAGAAATGTGTCTTCGCAACTTTTTTCTATTTGGAAAATTATTTTGTTTTACAACTAGAAAACCAGTACAGAGAATAATGTAAGAGACACTCAAGCATCTAGAAACGATTAGCATTACCAGATCGTCAAGACTTTTCAAAAAATAAAAGATGAAACATTATTGACAGAAGTGGAAGTCTGCATTAATTTTTTCAAATTTATTGGTTCTGTAAACTACCACAAAAAGGCAGTGGGTCATGGTTAATTTTATGGGTCACCTCGACTGGGCCAAGGGGCATCCTGGTAAAAACATTACGTCTGCGTGTGTCTGTCTGTGAGAGAGGTTTCCAGTCGAGACCAGCATTTGAACTGGCAGACACAGCAAAGCAGACAGCCCTCCCCGAGGTGAGTGGGTGCCCAACTGCAGACGGTCTGGGTGGAACACAAAGTGAAGAGACGATTTGTTCTCCTCCTGCTTGAGCCAATTACCCGTCATGAAGAGACCTTTTTATGTCTCTCCTGTTGGTTCTGTTTCTCTGGAGAACCCTACTACAGGGCAGCCTCTGAATGATGTAAGAAGGTACAGACCCTTTCGATCTGAGTTTGTCGCTATATAAGTTCTGGATGTTACCTTGACATTTACGTCACTGCTCTCCTTCCAGTGCTCCTGCTGGCATTTCCAAGGTGCAGTCAACAATGAGTGGGTGGTGGGAAGGGCAGGACTCTTCTGACCCTTGGTGACAGTTACTGACGGTCCACTGGGTACTGAGCTAGTTTGCTGGGGCTGCCATCACAAAGTACTACAAACCAGGTGGCTTAAGAAACAGGGATTTTTTTGTCTCACAGTTCTGGAAGCACAAAGCCTGAGACCAAGGCGTCAGCAGGGCTGGCTCCTTCTGGGACCTGTTGCAGGACTCTCCCCCAGCTCCTGGGAGCCTCGGTGGTCCCCTGACTAGTAGATGATGTTCTCCCTGTGTCTTCACGCTACATGTGTCTGTGTCCAAATTTTCCCTTCTTATAAGGACACCAGTCGTAATAGATTAAGACCCACCCTAATGACCTTATTTTAACTTGATTATCTCTATAAAAAACCTGTCTCCAAATAAGGCCACAGTCCGAGGTACTGGGGGTTGGAACGCCAAGTGACCTCTTTCAGGGTGAGACAATTCAACCCATGACAGATACTGAGGGAACTGCAGTCTCCACTATGGCAACACTTGAAAGGTGCGACAATTTGATCTCAAGGTCTTTGAGAAGCAAAGTGATGAAAAACAGTAGTGCCAATGCCACTCGCAGGGACGCTTATGGGCCAGAAGGAGCCTGTGGCAGAGACGGCACGTTGCCTCCCAATATGCATTCCCCCTTCTCCCTAACAGAGCCCAGATCTTATGCAGGACAAGGAGTGTTCAGCTAAGACTCCATCTGCATCCTCTTTTAGAGCTAGTTAACGCCATGTAACTGAGTTCCACCCAGTGAAATCCAGGCAGGTGCTGGGCAGGACGTCCAGGACGGCTGCTCGGCGGGGCCTTGGCCCTTTCGTCCTTCTCCCCTTTTCTCTTTCCTGCCACCTAGAAGACAGACCAGTGATCTGGAGTTCTAGGTGCCATGCTGGACCGCTGGGTGACTCTGAAGACTAAAGTCGCACACCAGGATAGTGGGACAGAAAGATAAAAGGGGTGGCTAAGTCCCTGAGAATCTGGACCGTGAATGTCTACCGCCTCGTCTTCTTAAGCTGGAGAAATCTTTTTCTTTCTTGTTTAAGCCATCATTATTTTGGGTATTCTGTCACACGCAGCTAAAACGAATCCTACGTGTCACAGGTCAAATACAAGCCCCTGAGTGCCAAAGCTACCTGGGAAATTTCAACAGCATTTTATCTACTGTTGATGGTTTCCACAATCTGAGCCCTCAACACACCAAGGACTTTGAGGATGCTGACAATCCTTTTTCTTGCGTGTGTACTCCTCCATCTTACTTGTCGTTATGGATTCTGCCATGTAAATGAAACCAGGAAGTGTGGCACATCACTGTGTGATGCTATCTATTTGGTCTATATTGTCTGACCCCAGGCTGAGGAGCTGCAGAAGACTGAAAATCTATCACCTCCAGAACCTGGATAAGGGAGGGCCTATGACCCTTTTTAATAACTCCTAAACTACAGGAAGAATCATTTAAGAGATTCTCAAAACAGCACTGATGTAGTCAGTGAAGCGTGGCTTGCTGGCCATGTGTTGGCATGCTTACAGGTCTAGAGAGCAGGTGGCAGTGACTTTTTCCTTCATATTAACACTGGACATAAAGTTCTCTTATTTGGGTTGGAATCTGTCCTTATCTACTTCTGAACAGAGCAATGGAGGAAAGTGCTAAAATCTGTTTAAAGAATGCATATGATTAGTAAGATCGAAAAATGCTGTTTTAACTTAACGACGTCCAGTACAACTTAATGATTTCAATGGTTTTAAAAGGCATTTGAAAAAGATGGGTGGCAGTTGCCTGAGAAGCACAAATCTTGGGTTTTCAAGCCTCATTACAGTTATGGAGCAATCTATCATCCTGTAGAACTCACCTGAACTCTGGTGGGTACTGTTTTATGAGCCAGTCCACATCAAAGCAGTAGTTAAACTAGACAGGGGAAAGAAAAGGAACTAAGTCATGAGTGATCTAGCGAAGCAGTCTATAAGAACTATTTGGTTATTAAAATTGAAAAACACTCTAAAATAATGATGAACTACAATTTTATTTATAAACCTGGACAGCTAGGCTACAAGACTTATAACCAAACCTAAACTATATCTCAAAGAGAATATTTGGTTCAAGGAATCTCAATTCATGGAGGAATGCGTGAGAAAGCAGGCTCTAAGACAATTATCTCTGCGGAATTTATTTCTGAGGGCTCTCTGATTAATTTAAATTAAAAAAAAAAAAAAAGCTTATAAATTTATTCCTTTCTCCCTAGGTGATTATAAAAAGGACTTTTAGAAAAGAATATTTCTTTCCAGCCTAACTTATGAACTAACTTTGTAACTGGGCATCTGAGACTAGACATTCCCTAGGCTCACAACAATTACATATTGACCCCACATCTTGTACTGGACTTACCCATGGGGGCTCCCTCCCATCGACCCTCCTCCTGGACACAGTGACTCAATCTCACTAAGAGAACACACGCAAATTCACCCCACCTTCCATCTGGAGACCAGAATTCCTGAGACCAAGTGAGATGCGAAAGACACAAGAAGCTGTGCTTTCTTCGGAAAAGTGACCTTTTTTCTATTTACTCGAGAGCCTGGAGCATAATGTGATTTATCAACACAAAGACATCAGCTTTGTCAGGCAAAAGCAATCAAACACACTTAAGTATCCCTAACTTGTGTGGCAGGGGTGGTGAGGCAAGTGCAAAACATTTTACTTTTCTAAATCAAATCAAACTTGACTTAGCCTTCACCACTCTACCCACACCTCTGCAGGGGGTTGCACCAGAGCCCAAGAGCTTATCAAGTGTCCCAAAAAGAAGTCCCTCAGGCTGTAATTTCCAAGTGACTTCTTAGCCAGTCTTTGCAGCCTAATCCAGAGCCAAGAGCTCCACTGATAGTGACATCCACGTTCCATGCTGAGGGCTGTGGATCCTACAACAGCAGCTGTGGTCTGTGCCATCTTGGGGACCAGCACAGGACTGAGACACAGGTCCCTGCCACTCATATTTTCTTATGGAGTTGTTTAATTATTTGTCCCCTTTCATACAAAACAAAAAAAAACAACTGGAAACTCACCTGTGCTGAAGACACAAGGGTCCCAAACAGAGGAGATAAAATATCTGAGAAGACAAAACATGTAAATCTAAAGTTCGTATTTTGACAAAAATGCTCAATAATCACAACTGACTTATTAGTCATTGATGATCAACATTTGGCTTAGAAAACAGTGAACTGAGAAGTCACTACAAAGCTAGATTTTAATGTTCCATAAAATTCAAGAAAAAATTTCTCGAATTGTGCTATGTAATACTACGTATTCTTTAATAAAATACAATGTAAAATTAACATCTACAACTTTGGTACTGGATGACTGCTCAATTTTAGAAACTGCCAATAAGGACAATGATATGTGTTCTTTTCAGATCTAATCTATCTCCTTCAAGTCCTCATTCAGGACTCCCTAGAGGAAACCTCCCCTCCAGGGACTGGCAGGAGGGTCTCTTCTGGAGTCTGGGAGCACTTGCTTCCTGTGCAGGAGGCAGAGGCACCCACAGCTCTAAGCTCACATTTCTGGCATCCAAGGTCATCTCTAGGGAAGACCCAATTCACTCGCATTCAAGTTTGACTTCAGATAGGTCAGAAAGCTCAAAAAATTCACCATGAGAGGAAGTGCTCGGTCATTGTCATTACCAAGGCTTCTAACAACCGCACTGGTACAGGACTTCTGCGGTGCCAGGCATTATTCTTGGCACTTCCCACGTGTTAACTCTTCCTCCCCACAGCCATCTTCTGAGGTGGGGTCTGTCATTCCCATTTGGTCGACAAGGAGTCTCTGCTTAGGAGGCTGTCCATGGCCACACAGCCAAGAAGGGACAGTGTCAGGATATGAACCCAGGCTGAGTGGCTCCAGCACTTCCGCTTTTAACCACCAAACTGTCTGGGCGGTTCAAATGGGCATCTTCATTTCTTTGGCCTATATTTACTGAGTGCCTCCTTCTTCCAGACGTGAGCTAGTTGCCCAGGTACAAAGACTTCTTTTTTTAATTTGCTATTTATTTTTTATTTTTGGGGGGTACAAAGATTTTAAAAGAACAAAGTATACTTCTTAAGGAAGCTCCTATCTTTACAGGGAGTTGCACCATCAAGAAATAAATTGCAATACATTCCTGCGTGGTGTTTTCTATTTTGCCACCGCTGGCCATTCTTTTAACCTTTCTAAATTTTACCCATCTTTTTTGGCCCATGTAAAGTCCCTTCTCCTCTGAGATCTTCTAAACAACCTACAATTTTGTAGATATCGTATGTACCACTCCATATGTTGGAGGGGTATATCGAACAGTTAAAAGCATGGATTCTGATGCCAAATGCCGGGATTCAAACCCCAGCTCTATCATTTACCAGCTCTGTGACCTTGGGTAGGCTATTCGACATCTCTGCACTGCAGATCTGTCACCTATGAAAGGAAGACAACTGTAATATCTACACATAAGGCTGTCGTGAGGATTAAAGCTTACACACACACACATGCGCATACACACATGCTACCTTAATATTATCACACTTTCTTCAATATCTTGGTGCTAATAGCCAGATTTTATCATTTTATTACATACAGCAAAGCCTTTCATCGTTCTCTAATGATTTCCTGTGTCTATCTTTCATAAATCAAACAACAGAAATACTGAGTTCTAATATTTCTTCAAAGTATCGAGACAAGAGATCCTCAAAATGAAAAAGAACCTATAGAATCTCTTACTGTATAGAATTAAATATACCAATATTTAATACCAAGTATTTATATATCACACAGAAGATATAATATACAATTACAATTACATGTAATTAAAACACTATTGATAGTGAACATAATCTATTTTTGAGTATGGACCAGAAAAAAAAGGTAATCTGAAATAAGAATGTTTATTTTGTTATATCTGCCATGTGAATATATTGTGTTGATCACTTCATGTACTTTCTTCTTTTTTGAACCCCTACCCCCTCCAGTTTAAAGATGAGTAAACTGAAAATTAAAGAACGCCAGGGCCTTTGTTAATTATCCACCCAGCACGTGAGTGGTGAGACCAGGATTCAAACCCTGTGTCGCGGATTCTACAGTACCTGCTACTCTCTCTTGAAGGAAAACTTTCTTTGCCCAATACTTCTGACACCGTGTGCTTGGGGGTTTTCCACAGACTTTGTCTCCAGTTCTCTAGGTGTCTACAATTTCATTCATTTCGGACACCATCCACCTGGAGTTAGCATCAGATCCCACAGGTTCAGCCCCATTAGACTACTGTTCCAACTCAGATGCCAATCACCGGTCCAGATCTCCTACACTTTGATTATGAAGCTATAACTTGGGGGTTCCCATGATCCCCTCCTTGGGTTCGATAATTTGCTAGGAAGCCTCACAGAATGCAGGAAAGTACTTTACTTACCAGATTACTGGTTTATTATAAAAGGATACAACTCAGAAGCAGCCAGGTGGAAGAGATGCACAGGGCAAGGTGTGGGGGGAGGGGCGTGGAGCTTCTGTGCCCTCTTCCGGTGCACCCTCCCAGCCCCTCCACGGGTTCACCAACCTGGAGGCTCTCCACATCCCTCCAGTTAGGCTTTTTTTTTTTAAAAGGAGGCTTCATTACATAGGCATGAATGGTTAAATCATTGGCCACTGGTGGTTAACGCAACCTCCAGCCCCTCTCCTCTCCTAGATATGGGGAGTGAGGCTTAAAGTTAGTTCCAACTTTAATCAGGAAATTGGTTCCCCTGACTACCAGCCCCCCATGCTTAGGGGGCTTTTGAAAACTCATCTCATTAACATAAACCCATGCATGAAAGGGGCTTGTTATGAATATCAAAAGATACTCCTTTGACTTTTATTACTTTAGAGCTGTTTTTTGGAGCCTGAGACAAAAACCAAATATAACCAGAGATGAAGATCAAATATACTATCACAATGTCAGATACCCCTGGGGAATAACCAAAGCCACCCAAAGGCCATCTTTAGGCTCAGAACTGAAACATCTATTTGTACTCTGGCATTCCTTTTTCGCTTCTTCAGTAGGAACCAAAACCAGGCTTCAAGGCAGCGGTTCTCAAACTCCATAGGGCACTGGAACCCCCTAAGAGGATTGTTAAAACGGACTGCAGGGCCTTGCTTCCCGATTTAAAGAATCTGGGTGGAGCCCGAGAATGTGCATTTTTAACAAGTTTTAGGTGATGCTGCTGATCCAGAGACCAAAGAGAACTGCTGCTATCAGGTATTTGCTACCTCGTTAATAAAGTGTTATCGATCAAGTTTAATCTTTAACATAAAAGTTAAACAAGTCTAAATATTGCGCTAAGCGGTCCCGCTGGTTGATCTGTGGGGCTGTGAGAAACGCCCTCTGATTCTCTGACCTAAGTAAACAGTTTGCTGTCAAACTCACGCATTTGCCTTGTTAAAATGGTATTTTTCCTTTTCCTGAGAAGTTAAGACCATGAAGAAAGGTCATTCCAGGCTACCCTCCTGGTCTCACTGAGGGACTCTGGCACGACTTACCCTTGATGTGGAGGGCGCCAGAATTATACTTTGGCTTAATTCCTGAGACTCTAGTGAGGTAAAATTGGAAGGGGTTCCCTTTATCCAGCATGTCCCAAATGTCCTGGCCTTCCCCTGATGTCTCGTACTCGTCTTCCTCCTTGCTGAGCTCGTGGTGGACGTGATTTCCAGCTCTCGGGGCAGCATCATCTTTGGGAGAGGAGGTGCTTCTCTCCTCCTTGACGGCCACTTTCTCAGCTGGCTTCTGCTGCGTCTGTGGTGGCAGCTCATCGTCACTGCTGGAGAGACACCAACCTAGGTCTTCCTGGGAGCCACTCTTCTGCCTTTTGGGAGGTAACACTTCGGAAACTGCATCTGTGTTGCTGAATTTCACAGGTGACATCTTCCTCCGGTGGGCGGCTTTCCGAGCCTCGGAACAGGTGTACCTTGGCTCACACACTACTCCCTGCCCAGCATGGACAACAAGAGAAGTAGATGGCTTGTCCGGTTTGGGCTTTTCCTCCTCACTCTCATCACTGCTGGATATCGTCCACCTCCCGTAACCACCTTCCTGAGACATTATATTTCTTCTAGAAACAAAAGATAGAAATATCATTATTTCCCACGCCCACAGTTGCCACTGGCAAACCAACTCCACTGCTCTCAAATTTCTTGTCACGTGAGTGTCCGCAACACATACAGCGCACCTGACACCTACCAGATGCAGAACCAAGTAACCAACAACAGCTGCTTTACAGGTGGTTCAGAAGCGTGTTACCAGAATCTGCTATAGAAATGTGGCAAACAAAAGTGACAGCAAAAATCCTGGTCATCTTCTCCCTTAGTCTTTCAATCTTAATGCCTCAAGAAAGGGGGTTGAGCAAAAGTCCAAAACAAAACAAAAATGTTCATTCTTGGTCCTGAAGCTTCCAATAGGTTCTTGAGCCGAAAACAATTTAAGAATTTCAAGTAGCTCTGACTATGTTCGACTTTTTAGGGTCCAATTGGAATTTACAGATCTATCCCTCACCAAAGCATGGGAGCCTGAAGGACATCAGTGATTATCTCTTACTTCCCCAAAGATAAGCTGACGAAGTCCTCGACAGTGTCAAATGGTCAATTCTGGATCTACATTATCTAGAAGTACTTCTATGAGGACCCAACTAACTTAATAATTATCTTATTGGTCTGGTCCTAAAGCTAACTACTTACTAAAACCTACAAAGACCTCATACCGAAGCAAAACACTTTTCTAAACCACATAGTCTAATTTCCACTTTCTTGATTTCAGAAGAGGAAAATAGATGCCAAAGATGAAAATCTAAAGAAATTCTCCCATCAAATGCCAATTTGGAATATTAGAGCTTTTATCAAGGACTTAAAAAAAAAAAATCTGTGGATGCAAATGAGCACTTCTCTTAAAGCTGCTAGCTCTTCCTCTGCCCACACCATACCACATCCGGCTGGGCAATTCCTTTACATTCCCGCTGCTCTTTTTTATAGAGCTTGAGACCATCAGTAGGGCACAGGAGTCAGGCTCCTCAGCTGAAGCCGGGTGTGGCCAGTAGTGGGCAAACATGAGTCCCAATTTCAAATCCAGTCATTACCAAGGGGTAAATGTACACATGGGTAGGTTACTTAATTGCTGAAGGCTGTTTCCTCCTCTGTAACAGGGTATCATACACGCTCCCCCCCTCCCCCAGTTCATTCATTCCACAAGTACTTATTGAGCAGCTATTATGTGCCAAGCCCTAGAAACAAAGAGTTACTATAGAAACAGTTTGTGCCCTGGAAGAGCTTATATTTCAGAGAGAAACAGACCAACACAAAAAAATAAACTCCCTTCCCGCCCCGAAAAAGCAGCTAAGATATCTTTAGACAGTCCTTACATTTCACAAGTATGAGACACAATAATAGGATGCCCTTACTTTGGAACTCTCTCTGACTAAATAACATTTAAGGAAGGCCTGGAGGATGAAAAAGAACCAGCCAGGAAAAAGGGGGGAGGGGGCGGTTTTCCAAGTAGAGGGAACACAACCTGCAAAGGCCAGGAAGCGAGAACGAGGTTGTGATAATTACCAGGGCACAGAAAGGACAAAGTGGGTGGGGAGGAGTAAGGCGTGTTAAAGACACTGGCTTTTATTTTAAGGACAATGAGGTCCCACTGAAGGGCTTCAATAAGCCGGGGGTACGATGACCCGATTTACTCCTTTTTAAAATATTATGCTCCCTACAACTGTGTGGAGAACGGTTTGGAGGCAAAAGTCGAAGCGAGGAGGCTTCTGCAGGGACTCGGGGAGCTGGTGAAGGCGGTGGGGGTGGAGTGAAGCGAGTAGATTCGGGTGCGCTGAGGAAGTGAGGACACCTGCTAACTTTTCTGTGCGCTTACCTCGGGCCAGGCACAATTCGAAGGGCTTTACCGGGTATAAACTTATTTCGCTTTCACAAGTCCTCGACTCTTCCCATTTATGGGGAAACCGCACAGAAAGGTTAAGTGCCTGGCACAGGATAGACGTTCACGTGCGCTAGCTATCACTTGTAACAGCCGAGACCAACCACCTGGTAGTGGAGCAGCCGGAAAGAGGACCCGAGCAGGAGGGCTCCTTACACCCCACTCCCGGCAGGACTCTGGTCTCTGCAGCGCCTGAGGCTCGCGCCTAAAAGATACTATTACTGGAGAAAGCCGAGGCCCGGGAGGGGACCCTACCCAGTGTCTTTACAAGATGCACCGCTTCCCTCGGGATCTGCCTCCAGCTCCACCCAACACTCACGACTTCGCCGGACCCTAGCGGCCGGTGCACTGCGACCCGGCCGAAGGGAACAGGATCGCGGGTCGGGATCCCGCAGCCGTCGAGCACGAACCTGAGGCTCCTCAAATTCGCAGCGGTCAGGGACGCCACCCGTCCACGGCCACCCGCGCCTGCGCGAAGTTCAAAGTATCCGGGCTGCGGCGCGCACCTCTAGGCCCTGCCCCTTCCTTTTCCGGGACGCCCGCCCTTGGGTCCTAAAGACCACCATATGAAGAGGAGCTGCGGGGGCCCTCTCTCGCGATCGAGGCGGCGGGAAGACCTGGCGCCTCTAGTTCTCGGCTCACCTCCTGACCACTTCTACAGAAAGAGAGAGAGGAAAAAGAAGTGTTACTTCGTTTCTCCCTCAGTTAGTTAGCAAAACTCATCGTATTTACAGGGATTCTGATGAGCAGCTGCATCGCCGCGGCTCGAGGCTAGGGAGAGGTTTAAAAGCAGAGAGAAAATCAGCTGAAGTTCGAGGCAGAGATCTCGAGGGCTGAGATCTGTGTCCTGAGAAAAGCGGACTGACCTGGGACGCACACTAAAACCTGCTGTGAAATAAAAGGTTAAATGAGTTTCCAACGGACTCGACCTCAAATGCCTGTTTCTTATTTCAAACAGGTCTTGGTGCCTGTTTGTGTGTGTGTGTGTGTGTGTGTGTGTGTGTGTGTGTGCGCGCGTGAGTGCGTGCGTGCGCGCGCGTGTGTGTGTGTTTAATCTTACAGACTTGCCAGAAGAAAGGGAATCTAAGAAAAAGGCTTTTGCTAAACGGAACCCTCTCATATTCCTTGCCTTTAATAAAGATGTTTGCTATGGAATTTGGGCTCAGTGGTGTTTATACTACTTATTCCGCGTTTCTTTCACCAGAGAATTGAATGAAATAACTTGCTGTAAATGTCCTAAGGGCTCACTTGGTTGGTTTCCTGAACGTCTGCTGTGTGCCAGGCATCGTGCTAGGTGCTGGAGTTACCGAGAGGACAAAACATCCCCAAAGGCTCTACCCCAATGACTTGCTGATCTGCACGTGAATCTTGGATTTGGCTTGTTTTGTTTGGTTCGTTTTATGCTTTGTTCACACTTTTTTTTGCGTCTTCTATAATAGCACAGTGCCGTGGATCAAATTCTCAAAAGTAATTTATTGTAAGGTGTGGGAGAAGAAAATGAAAGGAATCGCGCGGTACACATTGGAGAAAGACCTAGGTGAGCAGGATTCCCAGCAGCGCGTTAGGGGTTAACGGGACTAGACGGGGCGGAGCCAGTGCAGGGGGCGGGTCTGGGAGCCTCTCCGCCATAGGCTGTTCCGGGGAAACGTTATTAAAGCCTCTGGCCAATAGAACTGCGGAATCAACGCCAGTGGCTCGCAGGCCATCCAATGGGATAAGACGTTGGAGGTGGCTGGCCAGGTTTATTTTCCAGAGGCGCGGTTAACGTGGCCGGTGGTCTGCAGCGCGTCCGTGTCTGGCTGCGGAGGTCGCGGGTTCCGCTGTACTGACTCGGTTGTGGCGGTCGCGATGTTTTTCTCCCAGGCCGGCGCCCAGCCGCGGACGGGGGAAGCCAGCCCCTCAGAACGCAAGAAGTTGGTGGAAGTAGGTGTCCGGAGGGCTGAGTCTCGGACTTTAACTTGACTCGGGGCTCTCACTTTGGTCACCCCGCCTGGATTTTACTCAGCCTCGTTGCATAGACAAGGAGTGGACTATCCTTCCAAAGTGTCATGATTAATGACAGCCTAGGGCTGCAAGGCTTCTGGCTGCCAGTCCAGAGTTCTGGCTACTTCTAAATTCCTTCTCCACTGCCGCAGAGTTTACTAACTAATCTGCATCTCTCCTCCCTCCTGTCAAAGCCAGCCCCTTTGCCTCACCTTCCTAATTCTAGGACCGAATTTTTGATAGATTAACCCAATGGTTTAAAGGAATTAACTTGCGTCAGTTTAGCGATTAAGTCTTTGGAACTTTTGAGGGGGTAAATTTTAGCCCATCATTAAGATTTCTTGAGAATTAAAAGTAGGATAATGAAACTCCATTTTCGAGCCCTACAGCTGGGCTGAGTTTTAGATTTCTGAGGTTCAAATTTAATATAACCTAGTAATAAAAATAATGGAACAGACGGTTTTTTAATCTTAACTAAAGGTACTTTAATTTTCCTCAGGTATTCAAAGCATGTGATGAAGACAACAAAGGCTATCTAAGCAGAGAGGACTTTAAAGTAGCTGTTGTAATGCTGTTTGGGTACAAGCCCTCCAAGGTAGAGCTTTCTTTGTGTATTTGGGGATGGGGCAGACAATACAGGGATCCTAATGGTGAATGGATCCTAAGGTATTTATAAAGTTAATCTCTGCCTTATAAACAATTTCAGAGATGTGCCCAGTGCTGAATTTTATCTTAAAAACCCAACTGAGGGATGAATTAGAAAGCTACCTCACTAGAACCCATGAAACCTATCTCACCACCAGGCTGCTAATAATTATAATAAATATGAGATGCTAGAGAGGTGTCAAGAGGAAAGGCTGGATGGGGAGTGTTAGTAATAGGAGGAATTCACAGAAGTGACATGCAGGGTTTTTTTTTTTTATTTAAAAAATTTTTTTTGCTTTGTTTAAATTATAAAAGTAATACATTTACATACTCAAAAAATTCAAACAATGCAGAAAGGTATAAAGTTGAATGTAAACTCTTCTCCCTCCCTACCAGAGCATAAAAGCATAGACCACCACCACTTTTTAAAAAACAGTCACATAGTATTCTCATTATCCAGTTCCTGTTTTTGGTCATTTAGATTCCCTTATTTTTCATTCCTACAAACATTGCTGCAATGAGCATCCTTTTGTACCTATATCTATGCTTGTGGATGTATATGTGGAATTCCTAAAAGTACAATTCCCAGGTACATTTGAAATTTTGTTGGATATTGCTCTCCAGGAAACGTTGCACTAATGCACTAATAATGAGAGTTGAGCCAAGTATATGTGGATGTATATGTGGAATTCCTAAAAGTACAATTCCCAGGTACATTTGAAATTTTGTTGGATATTGCTCTCCAGGAAATGTTGCGCTAATGCACTAATAATGAGAGTTGAGCCGAGCTTGAAGGGACAAGTGTCCTTTTCTCTCCAGGAAACGTTGCACTAATGCACTAATAATGAGAGTTTTCTCTCTCTCTCTGTGCTGCTCCCCTTGTCTGTTACATCACATTCTAGGAGTGGATCCCTCTTCTTAAGCTGCTAAACTGTAATTAATCAGAGGCAAGATCTAGTCCAGGTTTAAGAAATTCAATTGTAGTCATCAAGCAGAGGGAGCACTCGGGGGTTTACCGGGAATGCCCTCCCTCGTGTCCTCGTTAGACCAAACGGCTTGGCGATCACTTTGGCTCATTGTCGCGTATGAGTGGGCTCTCGCTGTCAGATTGTAAGCCCAGTGAAGCCAGGGATCACATGATGTTTCACTTCTCCATCCTTCATTAAGCTTAAATGTATCACGACCTCACCGTAAATATGGTCTGTTGACATAAGTAGGTCCCATGAAAACCCCAGGTGGGTTCAGAGTGGTTCAACTAAACTATTAGGGGATGTTGGTTACTGAGAGGCCCATTACGGAGCTCAGAGAAGTAGTCAGGACTGACTCCCAGCAAGCTCCCAGCAGCTCTCCTGTTAACACGCAGTCATTTCAGCTGGAATGCCAAAGCAGGTCAGCTGAGCAGACTCAGCCTTTGAAGCACTGTCTTTAACCTGGGTTCTGTTAGGAAGATAACTGGTCTCCCACCTTTATCACCCTTGAGTCTACTAAGTTGGTTTTAATTTTAAATGTGAGTAATTTAATGATAGGTACAGTGATGTGGTAACTTATGTATATACACTCCATGAAATTTAATAGATTTTTACTTTTCATACCTGGTTGAGGTTTTGGATTTTATTTTTTAATCCAATGAAATGTTTATTGACTGCAGATCACTAAACTGTAAAGGGCTGGTATAGGAAATCACCTATACACTTATCAATCATTTGTACAATGATTTTTTATTAAGTAAATAACACTTAATGTGTACCCTGTGTGAAATTTAACAGATTTTTACTTTTATATTAGGTTTAGGTTTGGGGTTTTATTTTTGAGTTTTGCCTTTGAGCAAATGAAATATTTACTGGATGCAGGTCATGAAGCAGTAGAGCACTTAAATGATAAATCACTTATACACTTATGCAATTGTTTACACAATTAAATTTATTAAATAAGTGTTCCTATTTAATAAAAAGAACTCTTGGCTAGTCGTTAGATATAAAAGTGAGTAAAACATAGACCCTATTTTGAAGCAGTTTACAATTTAGCGTAGAGAGACTTATAAAACTTTGTGATATATACTAGGAGAAGAACAGAAAGAACAAAGTGAGTGTGACAAGGAGAAGGGTCTGAGTCCAGTGGTAACTGTAATAGGAGTCCAGGCATTATTTAGACTAGAGGAGCTGACCCCTCTGACAGGAAAAGTCTGGGAGCACTTTATGGTGGTGGAAGTTACTCCACGGTGCTCCACGGTGCTCAACTGGATGTGGTGTCCGTAAGAGGGTGCTGTGACACCAAGGAAGAAAATTCAGGGGTAGGAAAGTCAGTGCACTGAGATGGGGGCACATTAAGTTTGAGGAGGCTGTGAGCATTCCAAGTGCATTCACTTGTTAGATACTGTGCTGGTGTCAAGGTTATGGTGGTAAAGATCTCTCAGATCATGCTGCCTCTCTTAGACACAGAAATCTGAAATTGAGTGGAGAGGTGGGAGCTGGAGATAAATGTGGGACTCCTTGGTTACAGGTGGTAGGTAGCTCAAAAAAGGGCACTGGATGGAGGGCAGTAGCCTGAGGGTAGAGCATTGAGGAGAAACAACATTTAAGGGCCGGCAGGGGCTCCAAGAAGAAGATACAGTAGGAGCCATCTTGGGAGGCAAAAGGAACCAGGAAAGTTCTGGGCATGGAGTCCAGGGTAGAAAAGCTATGTCCAATCCGGCCAAGGACTAATCCGGTTCTAATTCCATAATGTTTATGCTCCCCTCGTAACAATGTGAGAAATGCTTGTATTTTAATATTTAGTGAAGGCAGGGCCCCAAACTTCATATACAGTCTGTTCTCAAATATGTTTAAAATGTATAGGGGGGAAAAAGCTAGACAGGCCAAAATGTTAACAGTGGTTTTCATTGGAAGGTCGGTTTAAGATTTTTTTCTTCTTTATAACTTTTTATATTTTTTGTTTTCTACATGATGTTACTTTTACAATCAGAAAGAAAAAAAAAAGCCATAGAGCCCATTTCTGTATTTGTCTAAAATGGAAAGTTTACCTTTTAGATTATACTATATATGTAAGAGCCAAGTCGATTTTACAGGCTTACACTGTTTTGGTCAATGAAGTAAAGTTTTAGAGGTCATTAGAGTCTATAGTAGATTAGCATCTGGTGTGTAATAGATATTGATGAAAGCATAAAGTGAGTATTATAGCTGTCTTGTGACATTACTTGTCTGCTGGACTCAACGAAGTTGGTTTCTACTAAAATACATCCCCTCCCCACACCCCAGGAATTAAGGACTTGCACTGTGAAAATATTTGATGAAATTATATGTCCTATTCTTTCTTTTTTCTAGATAGAAGCCAATTCTGTGATGTCTTCATTAAATCCAGACACTTCCGGTAATTAATAAAAGTTAATACTAATTTTTAGTACCCTTATTTAGACATTCATAAAACTAAATTTAAAAGCAAATATAGAAACTGTAAAGCATTGTGTTTAAGCACATTTTTATTTTGTTCCATTTCAAAGAAAGTAGTTTTCATTCTTTTAATTTTGATTAATTTGTGTATTCATAAGTATAATATATGTTTATTGTAGGAAAATTTTAAACCATTGAAAAACATAAAGAAAAAAATGTTGCTTATAATTTCAACATCCAATGGATGATTTGGGTTTTCTGACTTGAGCAGCTAAATGGGTGAAAGTAACACTTACTGAAATGGGAAGACTGGTGGAGAAGATTTGGGGTTGGAAGAGACCAAGAGTTTAATTTCGAATATGTTAAATTTGAGAAGGTTCAACCAATGGGTTTCAGAAGAAAGCTCTGGGCTGAAGAAATAAATCTGGGCATCATCAGCATGTAGATGGTTTTGAAGCCTCGCGAATGGATGAGACCACCTAGCGAGACAGTGGACGAAGAACTTAGGAATGATAACCTTTAGAAGTCAGGTAGAGGATGAGGAATGGAAAAGGAGACTTAGGAGAGGCAGAGGGGCAGGAGGAAAAACCTCTGTCAAAAACCAAGTGTCTTTGACAGAAAGAAAGCCAAGAGGTGGATAGTTCAAGAAAGAGGGTGTGGTTACCACAAGCACCTATGCTGTGGAGAAGGAGCATAAGAACTGAATAGGATCCGTTGGCATTGGCAACCAGGGTGTGTGGCGACTGTAGCAAGATAAATTTCAGTGTAGGTGATGGCGAGGCCATGCTGGAGGGGGTTAAAGACAGATGGAAAGTGAGAAGGTGCGGCAATGTGAGTAGATAAGTGTCAATAGGTCCACAATGGTGCTTTGTTTTTTGTTTTGGAACATGATGATATCGCTAAGCTCAGAATGGCCTACTGCAGCAGGAAAAGGAAGATGAGAGAGAAAGAAAGAAATACCTGTTGTTTGAGAAGATAGGATCCAGAGCATGTTGGTGTGGCTTTTTAAAAATTACATTTTTAAGAAATAATTAAAAATAGTATAGAAAATAGCTGTATCCCTTTACCCAGATTCACTTATTGTTAAAATTTTACCCCATTTGCCTTCTCATGTGCACTTTCCACCACCACCCCTTCCTCTTGCTGCACCGTACATAACCACAGCACACTTATCAACTTCACAAATTTATACTGAGACTATAATTTCCCATCTATGTTTCATTATTGTCACTTGACATAATAATATCCTTCGCAGCATCTTTCCTCGTTTATTATAGGAATTTTTCTTTAGTGTCATGTGTCTTTAGCTTCCTTTAATCTGGAAAATTTCTGTAGACTTTTTTTTTTTTGCCTTCTTATAACATTGATATTTTTGAAGAAACAGCCCCCCTTCACTGGTTTGGTTTGCTTTGTTTTTTAAGAACAGTCCTCATTTTATGTTTGCCTGATTTCCTCTGTAATTCGAATGAAGTTTAGTATTCTCAACCATAATACTGTTTCTGTCATATGTCGCTCTCAAGGTGCCACATCTGGAGGCATACAATATCCATCCGTCTCTCCTAGATAATATTAACTTTTATCACGGGCCAAGACGTTGTCCAATTGCTCCATCGTATTATTTCCTTTTTATATTTTCTTCTCTTGCAACTAATAAGCAGTCTACAGAGAGATATGTTTAAGACATTGCAAATATTCTGCTTCTCATCAAAATTTCCCCCTAGATTTGATATTCATTCATGATTCTTGTTTGATCCAGTTTTTGCCATAATGGTTGCAAATTAATGGTTTTCTAAGCCCAGTGCTTCTTTCAGTTAGCTCCTGGCATTTTACCATAATCAAGAGACCTCCCTTCTTCCTTATCTATTTATCTACCTGTCTGTCTATCTCTCATCAGCATGGACTTGTGAATTTGTATGTTTTTAATGATTTATAATTTTTTGCTGTACTTAATTCTTTCAGGGCTCAGCTTGACACAGGTTTGGCCGTTGAGTGCCTCCTCGAGCTGTCTCTTCTGTTCTTTTGACTGGTCTGACTTTTTCTTTCTTTTAAAAACTCTTCTTTTTATTTATAAATATTAGATTCACAAAAGAGTTTATTGGATTGTTTTTCCGTATACAAGGTTTGGTATCACATATAAAACATGGATTTTAAAACGATATTATTGCTAGGAGAAGGTGTTTTTTGCATACTCCCTATCTTGATGGAATTTCAAGTTATTCAAATATTGTTTCTTTGATGTAAATTACTTATAACTTCTTGGTGATGATCTCCCTACATTTTTTTTTCTTTGTGTTTCTATGTGAATATCTTATCTACAAAGATTTCTGTCTTCCGGATGTTTCCCACATTTTTTGCTTCGATAACGTTTCTCTCTCTTAGGAGTCCCCGATGGCCAGTGAGTGGTTCAGTCTAGATGAAGATCTTTCCCAACTCATCATATTAATATTAGCGTTCCTTTGTTTTGTGACTTTTCTGATACAGCAAGTGCGAATCGGAAAGCATGCTCACATCCATTATTCTCATAGATTTCCTTCCTTCTGTATAATCTCTGATTCTGAATTAAGGATTTGACTTCACATAGGTTTTCTTTCCTTAACCAGTTCTTTGATGTACAGAGAGGTGTTATTCTGGAAGAAAGAGTTCCCACGTTCTTTACGGGTCTATTGAGTTCTCTGATGTAAAGATTGATCTCCAGCAGAACTTTTCCCCACATTCAATATCTTAAGTTCTCCCCCAATATGTATTATTTCACATTTAGTAAGATATGACTTCATAAAAAGGTTTTCCCATATATGTTCCATTCTTATAGTTTCTCTCCTGTATGGTTACTTTGGCATACAATGAAGGGTAAATTCTGGCAGAAGGTTTTCCCACCTTCTTCCCTGAGTGCTCCAATATAAAGGGAGGACTGATTTGTGGATAAAGGATGCTGCAAGTATTCATTGTTACTTTTCTCCCCTATGTTTTTTTTTTTTTACTCGACCTTTGAGAGAAGTTTGACTTGTGGCTGAACATATGTTCATGAAATTTATAAAATTTCATCTCCTTTATGAGTTCCCGAATTCTTGAATTTTGACTGTATGCAGAGATAGCTCTCAACATTTGTGGCAGTGCTGGACCTTCCATCCACTCCGAGTTCGGATGCATGCTGGAGCTGTAAGTTTCGAATGAGAGTTCCTGCACGTTCACACGGTCTGTCCTGTGCCTGAATTCTCATACGTAGTGAAGGCTGCCTTATTATGGAACATTTTCTCAATTCATTATGGCCCAGGGATTGCTTCAAAGCTGGAATTTTTTGATACTGAAAATAGTCTCCCTTTGAGGGCTTTTGACTTTGATGCTGTGCCCCCAGACCTGCTCCCGCCTGGGTTTCCTTGCATTTACTATCAAGGATATTGCGTCTACTCTCACATCCACTTCTCAATCGAATCATTAGGATGCTTCCTTTCACAGCATCTTTTTATAATATTAAAATATGTTTTTAAAAGTTTACGAAGTAAATTAGTCATCGGAGAAATTCAGGGGAAGATTGGGTTGGAGGAAAGAGATCGAAGTGTAGGTACTTAGCACCTTGCTCCAAGATTACTGTGAAAGGACTTGCCTTAGTTTATAAGCTCCCAGTCTTTCCCCTTCCTCTTCTGGTCTCAATAGCAATGTCAAATTAACTTTCTCAAGCATTGCTTCATGATTTAAAGGAATAGACTTATAGCCAGCATTCTAACTCTCTAAGTAGCTTCAATTTGTGTTCACTTGAAGGGAGACTCAAGACCACAAGCATCCAAGAGAAAGAGTAAAATAGCCACCCTAGCAAGAAATCTCTGCTGAACTCTGATTACTGCTAACATACATTATTTTCTCTTAGAGCTTTTCGATACTGAACCAATTTCAGACCGTGAACTCCCTCTTATCTCTCTTTCAGTGACATGTCATATTTACATGTTCTTTTCCTTGCAGGAAGAGGGTTTGTGCACAGATGAAATGTTTTTCCAAATGTGTTACCTCTCTCCTTAATGTTTTCATCTTGAAGAAGAACTGAAATGTTGCCCTTGGCTTTCTGGGAACTATTTATTCAGGTTGTCAATTTTCCTAAGTTCTTCTGGGTAGCTGTGACTTGGGAATTCTGCTAGCTGTAGCATTTCTTACATCCAGACAACATTGTGCCAGGTCTCCAGCATGCCAGGATTCTCTGTGTAGTGCCCAGTTGCTGCCCAGCTTCCTGGGCGAGGTCCAGACTCACCTGGATTGACCCTGACTCGGCAGAGTCCTGGCGATGCACACACTTCACAGAGCACCTACACCTGGATTCCCAGATCCTGATTCCCAAGAACTTCTGGTCTTGTCTAAACGTGAGTCATTTCTGTAGAGTTTCCTTGTAAAAATTAAGAGTGGAAAGTTACGTCAAAGCTCTTAGAAATAAGAATAGAATGTCTCAAGGAAAGTCACACTGGAAGAATTTGAGGGCAGCCAGAATGAGTAGCAGAAAGGTGCTAATAACATTTTTTCATCCCTATAACCTAACAAGCAAGTGAGTATTAGCAAAAACTGTTTAGGCACCAGGAACTAGAAATTATATTTTTGGGAGAAAAAATTCAAGCCATTTATTTAAAGAAGCAGCAGATCACTATTGGCGTTGGTTCCAAAATATACTATTGCTACTTTTTTCATAGGATTTATTTCATTACAACCATTGTTCTGTGCTGCATTTTATATCTTCTCTAAGCACAGAGAATGAGGTTTGGAACTAGAAGAGACCTGAAAACTGTCATCTATTCTCTTTGTTAAAATAAGGAAACTGGGATCCAGGGAGGAATAATAAAATACCTTAATCCTGGCATTTGATGGTTTCTTATTTGTTTACAAACTACTTTTACATGCGTTGCAGTATTTATTATTATAGATGTTGTAGCTATGCTTAATATGTCCAGACTCTGTGATGATGCACAGATTGTTAAATTTAAGGCAACTTGATGACATGAGGAT